GTAGTCAGATCGCGCCGCCGCAATGAGCTCGCCCATGAGGTCGCCCGAGCTACTCGCGGCAAAAGTCGTAGGATTGATCTGTGCCGACAGCGGCAGGGGAGTGAGGAGAGCGCGGGAGCACGTGGGTAGGTGGCGAACAAGGGAGGGGCAGCGCCGCGAAGCTGATAGCTGCGCACCGCCAGAGACACAAGCAGCTTGAGCGAGCCACCGTCGACGCCGGGGACAACCATCGTCATGGTCTGCGGCGCCGACGAGAAGTAGGTGAAAGCAAACCCCTCCTTGGTTCCCGACGGGGAGGTCATGTCGAACTTCGCGACGTACTCCTCCGGTGCTGGCATGTATATGCAAGGCCCCGCAACGGGTGTTGGACTGTACGTGCTCCCCTCCTTCTTGAACACCACAAAGTGGTCCGTTGACGACTTGGCGAAAAACTTGTCCTTGACGGTGCACTTTGAGCCAGACATGGGGCAAACTCCTTCGTCCAGATACCTGCGGTGGAGGAGTGGGGCGTGTGTGTGTGCAAGTGGCCACCCGTCAGCGTCCGCGAGCAGGCGCACTTGGAGACTGGACCAGATTCGTTGGTGACGGTGCCGTCCGGCGCAATAGTCGAAAAGTACTGGAAAGCTGAGGCCTTTACCAGCGTGAGAGGCGTGACCTTGCCCGCCGTGCTGAATTCGCCCGGGCCCGTAAGGATGGTGACCTTGTCGGCGACGGTATCGGAGGCACCTTCGCAAACACCGAGGACAACCATGGCGGGGGGGCCACACGAGAGGACTGCCTTTTTGGCGCGGCCCGCGCCCTTTTTTCGTAATTTTAGTGGCGCAAACGCCGACGGGCGCCGCGCCGGCAAAGACATTGAAAAAGTAGAAATCCACGTGATGCGCACCGCAGCCCGCGGGGCCCCGCTGGGCGCCGCCGCGCGCCCCGCCCGGCACGGTTGGGGATGGGCCACAGTCTCCCCACCGACCGATCGATGGGAGATGCGGCGGATATCGGATGGGAGAGAAAGCAGAGAGAGGCCTGCACCACCGCAGTCCTGTAACTGTACACTGACCTCACTGCCACGTGCCAGCGACCTGCCTGAAGCTGAACTGATACTGAGATAGACTCTAGAGAGAGGTTGAGCGAAAAGGTCGCCGAGAGCAAAAATATTCAAAATAAGGGTTTAGCTTTAGGCAGCTGGCAGCAACCAGCCCTCCATGATGATGGGATCGCGCTGCTTCCGCTGTGGTGTGGCCTGTGCGCGGTGGCAGCCCCCCGAAAAATGACGGCGCTACCAAAATAGAGACACCGATGTCAAATTCATGCCTACTGGCGATGCACCCGGACGCCCCGGGCGAGAGAGTACAGACTCTCGCGCGGGCGAGCTGTCAAAAGCGCCTGCGCCGCGCCGAAAGACCGCGGGGCCCTCGAGCCACCCAGCCCGACGCTGCGGACACGGCGGAGAGGAGCTGCTGTGGCCCACTGGTGGCGCCTCACGGCCGCCTCAGTCCCACACCAGCGCCTGCACGAGCAGGACGCCATTCAGCAGCAGGCAGGCTGCAAACTGCGCCAACAGAATCGGGTTGCCCTCCGCCAGCGTGAGGGTGGTGAAGATGCGCGCCGCGTTGCCGCCCGTGCTGAGCGCGGCCGAGATCGGGCTCCAACCGCCGCGCGAGCGCGCCGCAAAGTTGCGCCAGACTTGCGGCACGAGCGCCACCGACGTGATGAAGGCAGCCACGCCCTGCAGCGGCCCGAGGAAAGCCGTTGGAAGCAGCGACGCAGCGGCGAGGCTCGCAGCGGGCAGCAGCGCGATCGGGGGCAGCGCCCGCTGGTAGCGGGCAGTGAGCGCCAGCAGGACGGCGGACTGCAGGCCTACCAAGCGTGGTCCCACCTCCGTGCACCAAAGTCAGGGCGAGAAAAGCCGCACGCAGCCGAACACGCGTCCTCTCGAGCGCCAGTCGGAATACACGGGTCTGTGCTCCATCTATAATTGCAGGCCCAGCGCCGCAAAGTCGAGGAAGGTGGAGAGAGAGTAGCCGTTGCGGATGTGGTACACCACAAAGATGAGGAAGCCAGACAGGTTGAGGCTCCAGGTGCTGACGCTCATCCCGTCGGCATTCTTCTTCGCCAGCGTGGTCGCGATCATGGGCGTGTAGATCGCCATCGCACCGGCGGTGAGACCCCAGCCGAGCGCGCTGGCAAGCACACTGGCAGACGCCTCGCCGGCAGCCGCTCCGCCCCGGAGCGTGTGCACAGACGCCCGATTGCTGACCGTCGCCGGCGCGCTCGTGCGCAGCGGAGGAAGGGATCGAGCCGAAGGGACGAGTGCGGCACTCGCTGCAAGCAGGGTGGTGAGCATATACACACAGCACCTCCACCTGAGCCAGCCTGCTGGTGCCTGCGCGCGAGTTCTTTACCAGGTTGCAACCCTTGTTCCGCACTGTGCTGTGAACAGAGCACCAACCAACAGCTCTCAGGACCCCCCGGTGCTGGGGTGCTGCCAGCAACCAACCAAGTCGAGCGGAGCAGCGTCGTTCCGATGTTTCGGCGGGCACTTCTCACCTAAGTCCTTGTGGCGGGCCGCTTGGCCTGTCCGAGGGTTTCCGGCAACCCAGAGGGAAACCAGAGGGTCCCCAGCACTTTGCGTTTCCGGAAGTTTCCAGGGAAACCAGAGGGTGTTTGGTGCTCCATTCTGTTTCTCTCGAGTTTCCCTCGGGAAACTCGCGAGTTTCCCTGAGTCTGAGAGCTGGTCTGGGGCAAAATCTGGGGCAAAATTGAGGAAATCGGCACGATACCCAGGTATTTTCCAGGTATACCGGGGTTTTCCAGGTATACCCGCAAAATACCCGGTATTTTGCCGATTTTGGCCCCAAAACAGCCTCAGACACGGCTCAGAGCCCCCCCCAAATGACGAATTCCACGGAGTTTCCCCGGGGTTTCCCGAGGAAACTAGAGGGTGTTGTAGGGAAACGAGCAGGAAACACGGAAAGGAAACCAGGTAGGGTGCGAGAGGAAACCCTCGGACAGGCCAACGGGCCGCCAGGCCCGGAAGCAGATGCCGACGAGGATCAGACACGGCGCGCTATCTGGGCTCGGAGGTCGGCAAAAAGGTTGCGCAACCGACACCAGCGACCAGGATCGTCGATCGAGGTAGGTGCACGCTGCTGAAGCAGTGCACCTACATAGTGGCGACGCCCTGCCAGTTGGCTCGATCCAGCTGGCCGACAAGGGCGACGGGACCCCTGCCTCTAAGGCTGAGCGGAAGGGCTACTACGCACACGTCAACAAGGGACACATCCCAGACCTGATCCGCTTTGGCTCCACGACCACATGCTGGGAGTTCAAGTGCTACACTCCGTTCCTCCCCTCCGGCGCGAAGGGCAACGGCTCTGCCCGCTGCGGAGGCGCTGCCTCCCGTGCCGATGGGCACTTCATCGCGCTTGGCAACACTGAGGAGCACCTCTCCGTCGTCGTTCTCGGCCACCCCCAACGGGGTGACCCGGCCACGGAGGAGCAACTGGACCGTGTCAGCGGCGACGGATGGGTGGCAGCGAAGGACGGCGATTACGCTGACGCCCTCGCCAAGGGCCACACGGTCATCCTCCTCGTGACCGAGTCGACCGGAGCATTCTCCGCCGACCTCGATCGCGTCCTCCGCCAGCTTGCGAGGACCGCACGCGCTAGTGGGTCCATTGACCACACGCCGTATGGCACCTCTCGCGCGTCCACCCGCTCACACTACACCTTCCACTCCGCCGCCATCTCCGCCGCCATCGTCACCGCCGACGCCCTCACCATTCAGAACTCGGCCGCCGCCCTCGGATTCGAGCTCACCCTCGACCCTCGCGATCTCGCCCGGCGCTCGTCGTCGGGTCGCCCGCCATTGCGGTCGGCGCCACCACCTCCTCCCGCCCCCCCCGCAGCCACCGCCGCGCGGCCGCCAATGCGACCGACCCCACCCTCCTTCCCCGACCCCGCCCTAGACGCCCCCGACAGCGAAGCCCGCGCCGCGCGCGGCACCACCACCGACTCTACCTCCGACCCCAGGGCCTAGGCGGCCCGCCATGAAATCTAGCCGTGTGTGCTGGCGTCCGGGTCCCAGCGGGTTTTCACGTAACAAGTACACACATAGTGCGGGACCTGGGGCAGCAACCAACAACCTGGATGGGGACGGGGTGCTGCTCAACCGGCGGCAAACAGCAGCGTTCACAGCCGAGTGCGGAACAAGGGTTGCAACTTGGTAAAGAACTCGCTCGCTGGCTCACGTGAAGAGCCAGCCTTACCTGTGTTTCTTTGTGTGCCCGATTTATTTCTTCAAACGCCCCGAGATGAATTGGACCTCCCTGCTCCTCGCTTGCGCGGCCGTGGCGCGCGCAGCAGAGGATGCCCCATCGCCGCCGGCCAACAACCCCATGCAAGGTACTCCTTCGATCGAACTGACCTCACGCACGCACCGAAATCGCGCTCCCCGATCACGCCGCTCAGCTCACATCTCGCTTGCGCTCGCACCTCACGCCGCTCACGCCTCAAACTGACCTCACCCCGCGATCGCGGCTCAGCTAATACCGCCTCGCTCGCGCACTCGCGGCCCACGTCCGAGAGCCGCCCACGATCGCGTGGCCGCAGACCCGGCGATGATGCAGAGCGCGCTCAAGATGATGCAGAACCCGCAGATGATGGAGCACATGAAGGTGATGATGAAGGACCCGGCGGTCAAGGAGCGGATGAAGCGCATGCTGCAGAAGCTCGGTCCGTCGGCCGCGATCGGCGGGGGCGCGGCGGCGACAGACGACGAGGCGATCGAGGCGATCTGGGAGCGGATGCAGGCGGCGCTCGCCGATCCGGAGCGGCTGCAGAAGCTCTCCGAGACGGCGAGCTCGGAGCAATTTCAGAGCCGGATGAAGCAGCTGGCGGAGGATCCGGAGTTCGCCTCGGCGGCGGGCGAGTACGTGGATGAGATGAAGGAGGAGCTGTCGTCCGAGCTGCTGGCGGGCAGGGCGGGCGCGGCGGGCGAGGCCGGGCTGGCGCTCGACGACGAGGACAACGACGAGGAGGAGGACGCGGGCGACGAGGAGTGATGACAGGAGGGGCGAGGCGCCGTTGGTTCCGTTACGGTAATAAAAAGAAATCATATTGCGGGGGAGGATACCGGGAGCACTTGGAGAGAGTCGGTCGGCCTTCGAGCTGGCGAAGCCGGGAGTGACGCGTGGACAGCAAGCTTGTCACTGACTGCTACAGATGAACGAGAAGGTCGGCTACCCTGCGGCGCGGCGGGCTCGCGCGGGTTCGATGACGTCTTCCGCCGGCGACGTCATTGGAGCGCTGCACAAGCCGCCTTCGATGGCGCCGGCTGAGAAGGTCGCGGCGGACATGCGACTCATGCGCGTCCTCCTGCTAGACGCAATCGCCCCCAAGCCCAGCGCAAATGCGCCCGGCGAGTACGACGTGCTCAGCTCGAGTGAGCCGGAGGGCCACCTTCCGGCCGGCTCGCCGCTGGGCAGGCCGGAGCAACAGCCGGCGCTGGAGCGTGCGATGAGCAGCGTAATGCTCGACGGGCTGCCGCGGCTGCCGGCCAGCGTCACCGAGATGCTCACCGAGGTGGGCTCCCTCCCGCAGGACGCGGCCGAGAGCCTGAGGCTGATGAGCGAGCGCGCCGGCAACATGGACGCGAGCACGTTGCTCTCGTCCGCCCAGTTGCTCGGCGAGCTGATGAGCCAGGCGAACCTCGCGCTCGCCCAGCAGACCGTGCGCGCGTGGCGGGCAAACCTGCGCGCCGACGCGGGCTGCACGGAGGACACCTCCACCGGCGCGGTGGTTGGGAACCAGACCTTTCGGATGGCCTTTGACGCGCTCCTCGCAAGTGGCCGCGCCGCCGCCGAGATCCGCGACGCAATCTCCGAGCAGGAGATCGAGATTGTGCTGACGGCGCACTCGGGGGTGCAAGCGGCGGACGCAGGCCACGCACCGGACACGTCGTGGACGCGTCCAGTAGGCGCACCCGACCGAGGCGCAGCGGCGGACGATCCTCAAGAAGCACCAGCAGATTGTGGCGCTGCTCGGCCAGCACGATAAGGGCACAGTCCTCACCCCCGGCGAGGTGACCGAGCTCGAGGAGGCGATCTCGCGCGAGCAGGCGCGGACACACTCCGAGAACACTCCCGGCGACTGTCGCTGCGTGTGCCACCTGTGATCCTTCCCCCGCCCCCCTGCTTCTTTCTTATACCAACGGCGGCGCCGGGCCGATCCGGAAGAAGAGAAAGCACGGGCCGAGACTCCCCCGTCTGTACCCGCTCTCCCTCCCCCCCGCCCCTGGCTGGCAGCTCGCGGCGTGGCGCACCTCCAATGTGCGTCGCTCCAAGCCGACGGCGGAAGGCGAGGCGCGCAACGGACTGATGGTGATTGAGGAGACCTGCTGGGACGCCGTGCCAGAGCACTACCGCCGCCTTGACCGCGCCCTCCGCCGGATCGGCCAGCCGCCGGTGCCGTACGACAAGGCCATCGGACACACACACGCACACACACACACA